GCGGGGTAATTAATTTGAAGATGCATGATGATGGGCCCTGTGATTCATGCGAAGATATTGTTCATCTCGGAGATCCTGGAAAACAAAGCCTCTCATCGAGGTGAATCTGTGCCCATTTTGGGAACCTGGCAGAGCTATGATGCTTTGACTGAGAGTGCAGTGATCAAGCATCGCGGTCTTTGCCTGACCATCAATACCTCAATGCTGCCGACTCCATGCCAACCACCCAAGCTTGGAGATCTTGTTCAAGTAATTGGTGAAATAGATTGCAGATGTCCTCAAGCTCTAAACAGTCCTTCTAAGATTGCAGTCCATGCTCGGATTTTCCGGATCGTCAACGGAATTCATCTCGATCTGTACGAGACAGCTTTGGAGATGCGCCGCCATTTCGAGAATTATCAGATGCCTCGTCACTGAGACATCAGTCAGATGTATGTGGCCATGTTTTGCATGCTTACGCAGATGAAAACCCTGTAATAAAAGATATCATTTTGACGACCAGTAAAAAGTACAAAAAAAATTGTTCTGTGGTGAAGGATCAGTCTTCCGTCTGCAATTTGTGTCACCCACTCAGCGTATTTCTCCGTCTGCAAGTTTGTCAGGGAGTTGCCCACATCACTGGCAGAAGATACAACTGTGTTTCTGTAAAYAGCATTTCCCTTTATACCCCCCTAGAGAGAGAAGCAGATGGAGGGAGGAGAACTCCCGTCTTCCGTCGAACACAAAGCACCCTGATAACGAATGTATACAAGCTATCTTTCCGGTCCGATGCAGCCAAAATAAGGGTGCGTTGTGTTCGGGGGAAAGAAGGCGAGGCTGTTGTCTCAGCGACTCACAAGGCAACTGCAATTTTGCAATCTCTGTAACGTTTGGGGTTGGCCCCGTGCATTATACTTCAAACCTATGGTGGTCCCCACTCATGGTCCCCAACGTGGTCCCACTCGTGGTCCCCATTGTGGTACCACGATACGCTTACCGACATTCAGGACGAGGACGAGGACCATCGCTGCTATCGCTCAATGTAGAGTTCGACGGAGCATCGGCTCAAAGTAGAGTTCGACGGAGCATCGCCATTGCCTGCACCGCTGTTGTGGCATTAGGAGGTTCTTCTGTATCCTGCTACGGTAGCAGCTGGAAGGAAACAGGCTTGTGTTTCATCTTTGGGAAAAGTGTGTGTGTGTGTGTGTGTGTGTGTGTCTGAGAGAGAGAGAGAGAGAGAGAGAGAGAGAGAGAGAGAGAGAGAGAGAGAGAGAGAGAGAGCAGGCATACGCAGAGAGAGAAGGGCAGGGACTGCGAGAGAGAGAGAAAGAGAGAGAGAGCAGTCACACGCAGAGAGAGAAGGACAAGGACTGATAGAGGGATAGAGAGAGCCACAGTTTTGCTAGTCCTTTTTATTTTATTTATTTATTATTCTTATTTATTTCTTTAATCTTATTTAAATAATTAGCATTCTATCGTACTCTCCCTAATTGCTGAAGAGCGCTGTGCGACGACGGGGCCTGACAGATCTTGTACTCGATTGGCCCTTTCACCCTGCTGGTCGCCGAGGACCTCGGAGCGGGCGCGGCGAAGTGACAGGCGCCGTAGCCCATGGCTTCAGCGAACAGTAGGTAGCCCCTCCTCGGGTTTCCTAACAACGCGATAAATAGCATCTCTCATGATTACTTAGACAAGTTTATTGTTGGGTACCTCGACGACATCCTTATCTTTAGTAAGACTGTAGAGGAGCACGCTGAGCACTTAAAAACAATGCTAGGTCTCCTAAAGCAGCATCAGTACAAGGTCAACTTATAGACATGCCAGATCGGTCACACCAAGATCTTGTACTTGGGTCGTGAAATTTATGCGGATGGGTTGAGGCCGGACGATGCCAAAGTGGCCAGCATACGTGACTGGCCCAGACCTCAGACTGTTACTAAGGTCCAATCGTTTTTGGGGATGACAGGCTACTATCGTCCGTTTGTCAAAAACTATAGGACTATAGCTTCTCCATTAACCGACCTAACCCGCCTTGACACCCCTTGGGAGTGGACCGAAGAGTGAAGCAAGCTTCAAGAAATTGAAGTATGCCCTGACACACTATGAAGTCCTCAAACTTCCAGATCCTGATCAACCCTTTGTGGTGACCACAAATACCAGCCAATATGGCATAGGCAACGTCCTTGCGCAAAAGGAGGGGAAAAAGAAGGCACAGCCCATCAAGTATATGAGTAAGAAGATGCCATCTCAAAAGTTAACAAAGCCCACGTATGAGCGTGAGCTCTATGCCCTCTATTAAGCGCTGGTCCATTGGAAGCACTATCTCCTAGGCAGATTCTTCTACTTGAGATCTGACCATGAGACCTTGCGTTGGATCAAGACTCAGCCTATACTCTCTGATGCACTCAAAAGGTGGATCCAAGTGATAGACATGTATAACTATCAACTTGCCCCAATAAAGGGAGAGTATAACAAGGTAGCTGGTGTACTATCTCGAAGGGCAGATTATCTGGGCGAGCTAATAACCGAGTTTGGTATATTTAACGATATAACTCGATCCTTGTGGCTTGCTGTTTCTTGAAAAGGCCGGGAATAAAAGATTGTGTGTACCTGATAGGGACTCTATGTGTAGTTTGTTTTTAGGAGAATGTCATGATGCAACTGGCCATTTTGGCTATAGCAAAACATCAGCTAACCTAGTACAGAGATTCTGGTGGCCCTCTATGATGCAAGATGCTAAAAGATATGTTGAAACCTGCCAGGTTTGTCAACGGGACAAACCTAGGACTCAGGCCCCGCTTGGGCTTATCAAACCCTTGCCTATCCCTGAAGGTCCTGGTCAGAATGTATCCATGGACTTCATGGATACTCTTGTGACCAGCAAGAGTGGAAAGAGACATCTTCGTAATAGTGGACCGGTTTTCCAAGTATGCAAGACTAATCGCTCTGCCAGAGACCGCTAAAACTGACTACGTCATCAGGTTGTTTATGGATAACTAGGTACGGACTTTGGTTTACCCAAGTCCATTGTCAGCGACAGGGATGTTCGTTTTACCAGCGAACTATGGCAAAACACTGCCCAGCAGATAGGTACCCGACTGCAGATGACATCAGGGAATCACCCTGAGTCAAATGGTCAGGCGGAACAGATGAACCAAGTAGTGCAGCACCTACTAAGACATTACATCAAACCAAGTCAGGATGACTAGGATGAGAAATTGCCTCTCGTCACCAGCCTGTATAACAACGCCATGCATAGCACTACTGGCACGACTCCCAACCAACTGCAGCTTGGTTGGAAGCCTAGAACCCCACATTTCCTACTACCTGAGGGTCAGCCATCTGCACCACCTGGCAGCATAGAGTTTGCTGTCAAGTATGAACAGATGCTGCAACAGGCTGTAGAGCACATCAAGAAAGCTCAGGATGCCATGGTTGCATCTGAGAACAAACATTGACGGCCATCTCAGTTTCAGGTAGGAGAACGGGTATGGGTTAAATCATCTGCACTGGGGCAGGAGTTGGGAAACTCCAGGAAGCTAATGCCATAGCATTTTGGTCCTTGGGAGGTCCTAGACATAGTGGGGGATCAAAAAGATGGACCTTCCTACATGATTCGCATCCCTGCTCACCTACGCACACACCCAGTCTTCCACGCCTCAAAGCTGGCACCTTTCGCAGAGACTACGCAGTTCCCCTCCAGACGGTCAATGCTGCCCCCAACCATGGATGGCGAAGTCAACATCAACGAAATTGTGGAGCATCGGGTGATGCCAGTGCCTAAACCTCCCGGTAGAGGCTGACCTAAGGGGTCCCTCATACAGATGTGCCCACCCTAAGTGAAGGCGGGCCTAACAAATCACGAGAGGCCCAATGCTGTGCAATTTCGTCCATGGGGTTCAGGCAGTTGTGTCGCGTCAGTTGGTTGAGGGAACCCAGGCCCCGAGCAGCAAAGAGCTTCCACGGCCTTCTAGGCCTTTTCTAAAACGCAGGCCCTGGGCAGAATTTGCAGCAACATACACAGACAGTTGGGAGGCCTAACTGAACGAGGCCCAGCGGCTGCAGGAGAGGCACAGCCTCCTGGGGCCTACCGGAAGCTTCTGGGCGCGGGCCCAGCCCAGCCAGGCCACAGGGCAGGCAGGCTCTTTCCATATAGGAAAGAGCTCACTGCTTGGAGGGGCATTCGGGCACTTGCAAGCTAGCAGCAGCACTGCTGGAGCGGAGTCTCGCGGGCTGCTGCTTGCGCTAAGGCAAGGTGCTGCACACGTGCGGTCGTGTACGAGGAAGGGCGCTGCTGAGGGCAGCGCCATAGCCCAGCCTCCATAGCTTGCTGGGGCTTGGATGTACAGCAAGGCGCAGGGGTGGTCTTCGGGTATACAGAGGGAAGACGTGGGTGAAAGTCGAGGAAGAGAGAGAAGGATGACGATGATGATGATGTGAGGACACATACCTGGTATTGGCGACGGTCTCGAGGAAGAGAGAGAAGGATGATGATGATGATGATGATGATGATGATGTGAGGGCACATACCTGGTATTGGCGGTGGTCTGCATCTTCAAGTACTTTGTTGGCTGCTGACGTCAACAGTTGCATTGTCAATCAGCAGACAGATAGTAGCTGTGTAGGGAGTAGGCTGGGCGCCGAGCGCCAAGTAGGGAGAAGGGCCTGGATACTTATGTTGGTGATGGCGAGGACAAGCTCTCATTGACATGCTGTTTTCAGTGTTAGGATTCTTCATTGGTGTTATATTGGTGCAATGCTGCTTTCTGGACACTGTGATACTTTCTGGGTCTCAATGTGATTGTGCAATCTGAATTTTATCATCTCGCTATTGCTCATTTTCCTTGCAGTAACCTACTTGATTTACATTAAAACATGCTCCCAAGTACATCAAATAGCATTGGACTCTACATAGATTAAAACATACTGAAGGAATTCAGCTAAAGCATGCATACTGAAGTGAAGTAAGGCCTATTGAAATCACTGAATTAAAATGCAAACACACCCTCATTGCTACCTACCAGTTTAGGGGCCTTTTTTAGCAACAGTCTCTGGCCTCGCTTAGTCTTCGGCCTCACGATCTTTGACATCATGCAACCCTTGTGCTGACTTATAAGCCCCAGTCAGGTGAATCTGCAGAACTGCACAACAAGCCGGCAAATCAGAACGGTGTCATCATGCACAGTGGGTAATAAATAATGAGTTGCAAAGATTTCGAATTTGACTGCAAAGATGGGAAGAACATTTGGCGATATGTAGCACTCGATACGCTTGGAGAGGTGGTGAAAGGAGGCCAAGCCAAAAAGAAATAGCAAGGACCAGAGGAGTGGGAAAATGTTCGGAGATGACACGAGGAAAGACATGGGAGGAGTTCCAGGGATGCGGAGGAGGAAGGTCCAAGGCAGTGCCGGGACACCATTGGACAATGGCAAGGAGGAGCAAACTTGGTAAAGGGTGGGAAGAAGGCTCTGAGACTGCTAGAAGTCGTCAGAGAATGGGAGGGAAAGGGATAGCAAGGGCGGAGAAAGGCTGGGAGGGGATTCAAATATGGTGTGGTGGGTGATGAAGCAGGATTGGACAAGGAGCGGGAAGGAGGCTTTGAGATTGCGACCAGTCTTCGAAGGTTAGGAGAAATCAAGGGAGGTTTGGAGAACAGGTGGAATAGGGATAGCAAGGGAGGAGAAAGGCTGGGAGGGAATTCAAATATGGTGTGGAGGGTGATGAAGCACGATTGGACAAGGAGCGGGAGGAGGTTTTAAGAAGAGATGGGAGAAGATTTCGAGATTGGGACGAAAAAGGTTAGGGAAAAAAAGGGTACAAAAAAGTTTGCAGATTGCTACTGCGTTCAGAGAAGAGGGAGGAAGTTTGCAGATTCTAAGCTGAGATGGCCAGAGGGCTCCAACACGGGGGAAGTTAGGAGATGGCACAAGAGGTTCGGAGAACGGGTCGGGAAAAGGGATGGAGAACGATTGGGAGGCGATTTGGATATGCAATGGACCAGGTCTCCGGGACAAAGGCGGGCGATTATTTGCTTTTCACATGAGATAGGGCAGGAGATGAGAAGGAACAAGGTTAGGAGTAAGTGAGTAATTGTGAAATTTGTAGCCACGATTTTGAGAAAACACTGACATAGTAATTGTGACATTCAAAAAGTCTTTTGTAGACAGGGACGGGGTAAGGAGACGTTTGGAGATGGACAGATTCTGAGAAAAAGGAGGAAGACTCCGTTGGGAGATGGATAAGGCGAGCTATGGACACCTCCCCAAGTATTCACCACAGGAGCTGCTGCAGGACGTTCCAAGACGCTGCAAGGGTTTGAATACAGATGGAAGGTGGTCTGCACTGCAAATAGCAACAGGGGCCTAACGGTAGGTTTGCAGAAGATTTTCCCCAGAATCGGCATCATATAGATGAATTCCTGGTCATTGCCAGTAAACTGCACATAAATTGTAGTGTAAATTTTCATATACAGAAAGTAAACAACTTAGAACAAGGGCAATAACGGGAAAAAGCAAAGAGGATGCAAGTTTTTGACAATTAGAAAATCCGAAGAAAGAAAATCAGAAAAATTTAGTTGTTTGAGAACCCGGGGGGGGGGGGGGGGGGGGGGGGGGGGGGGGGGGGGGAGAAAGAAGAAGAGGATAGAGGATTGTCATATTTCCAATCTCGGGGGTTCGCCTACACTTTGCATTTCTTTTTTTTTCCCTAATAAAAGGGCCTTTACCCGACCCATGCACTAACTTCATTTTTTCCAGCAAGTAATCGTCAGGAGAAAAGGTGAAAGAGAAATGTAATCGTCAGGAGAAAAGGTGAAAGAGAAATGCAACCTTCAGTTAGCTGAGAAGTACGAATCTCTGCTGGCCTCAGGCTACAATGGTCTGTCTTCCCAGCTTTTGCTTTTGCTTTTGCTTTTGCTTTTGCTTTTGCTTTTGCTTTTTTTTCCCTCGTCTTTACACCGGCTGTCAGAATTCTAAACCTGGAATTCTTAGAAAAATATACGTGAAAACAAATTCAAGTTGGTCACCAGAGTTTCTCTTTTTGTGCGGGGAAACCTCTCGCTCGTAATCTCGTCTGACACCCTAGCGAAAGCGCTAACGGAAGCACTGCCGGAAGCCCTAACGGAAGCACCAACCGAAGCACCAACGGGAGCACTAACGGAAACACTGATCAAAGCGCTAAACGGAACGGAAGCAGTCAGGGAAGCATCCTAAGAGAAACAAGCAAGTGACGAGGAGAGACAGCAAGACAGGTTCTGCTCGGCTGGCGTTAGAAAATAATCAACAGTCGTTTTATCGATCAGGGACAGCATGGAAAACACAGCCGACGGCCGTTCTCTCAGTGATACACAAGCACAGGGACCCAACAGCCGTTGTTTCATCAGCAAGCACATTCAATCAAGTAGAGGAATGCATGGCCCAATGGTACGTGGCCACGGGACTGACATCCTTGCTGCGGTCTATCCATTCTATCAACGACAACTACCAAACAGCTGAAACACAAACCGCATGGCTGCTAGCTCCTGTCGAAACTGTGGCTCTGCTCCATTCCGTTTAGCACTTTTATCCAATCATTGGTTGATTTATCCAATCATTGGTTGATTTACCCAATCATTGGTTGATTTATCCCATCATTGGTTGATTTATCCAAGCATCGGTTGATTAATGGATTGGTTCATTGATTGACCGAATGATTGACTGATTTTTATTGATTTTTATTGATTTTGACCGATTTTGACTGATTTTGACTGATCTTTGATTGATTGGTTTATTTTTAATGTTTTTCACTGATTTTTGTTGATTTGTATTGATGGATTGATTGGTTTTGACGATTTCGATTATTGATTAATCTTGACTTCGGTCGATTTTGATGTTGACTGATGTTGATTGATGTTGATTGATGCTGATCGATGTCGATTGATTTTAATCAATGCAAAAAATAGTTGATAAAGCGAATGGTTCATGGATTGAACTGATTGTCTGCGGAGCGACTTATCGTTCATCCACTCGTCCATGAATCTGGTGACGCACATCCAGGCCAACCGACCTTGGGAGAAAACAAAAGAAAGGACATATTTTGCCCATCCGACGTCGTTGTCATGTTGTTCGCACATACGCAGTTTAGGCCTTTCTCCAATTTCACCGTTTCCGTCTGTGTGGTTGAGTAGGTGCATGTGCGTGTGCATGCGCACCTGTGTGTATTTGCTCCCTTCGCTGCACGTGTGCAAGTGGCAATGTATGCGCAGATGCTGGATTTGAGCGGCTAATCTGCACATTGCCTGGCTCCCTGGCTCTCGGCATTGAAGGCGGCTAAGCGTTCACGTCACGTTTTCACACAAGGTTTCAGTTCTTTCTTTCCTTTCTTTTCCAACTTGTTAAGCAAGCCATCACTACACCGTTGACAGCCACCCTGGTCACCTCACCTCATGATATTGGGTAGGGGAGGGGAGGGGAGGGGAGGGGAGGGGAGGGGAGAGAGGCAGGGTGGGTTCGTACCACTGCAACTTGGTTTACTTGCAGGACCACCCTTCCTAAAGGTGGTGCATCGGAGAGACGATCAAACGGCCAAAAAACTCTTTCTTTTTCGCCCCCTGGCACGGTCTGCAGAGGTTGGGCCGATTTCTCAGGAGGTTGTGATGATCGTGTAAGCGCAGACTCGTTTACCGTACGCTCAGTCAAAGACAGTCAAATTCGGTTCACTTATATAGTTCCATAACGTCATCCAATCGACAAAAACAAAATCTCCCTTTTTTTTTTAATAAAGGTTATGCTGGCTGAGGTATTCGCAGGCTCTACCCTAACGGCCAGTGTTTTAATCGCACTCCCATGACACACCCAGGGAAGACGGGGGGCATTCCAAGCCGGGAGACTCCCAATGGTACCCAGTCGCTCAGCGACCGCCCCCCTAACTGTGTCTGTCATGAGCACAGTCAGCAGGACGCTCAACGGGCGGGACCCCCCCTGGGGTACCCGGCCGGGGATGTTAATGAGCTGGAGTCCAGCATCGCGTGAGTGCCGACGCACTCAATCAAGCCAACCAGGATCTGTGGTCCATAGGGACAAAAGAAAAAAAAAAAAAAAAAAAAAGGAAGTTACAGTACATATGTCTAGGTATATACATATGTGCGAGGTTGGCGGCAATCCAGGCTGGTTTCTGATTCGGCTTCGAAACATCGCGAGAGCAAAATTGGAGAAACGAAGAAAGAAAAAATAGGAGTCTATCTAGGGGCCCTTTACTTTAGGAATTGTTTTAAAAACAAAGTCGAGGGACCCCTTTATTCTTAAGTCTAGGACCTATATATGGGCGAGGGAAAAATCCGGAAACACCACCACCTGGCAGGAACAGTAGATGGGGAGAGACACCGGCAGTGGAATCAGGGAGGAGTGTGAAGAGTAGGTATAAATAAACCAAAGATAGCAGCTCCCACGGTGATGTTAAAGAGTAATAAATAGAATGCATTAGGATGACATCAAGGAAGAAGAGGGAACAGAATGGAGTAGACAACACAAGAAGACCGGGGGAAGGAAAAGGCGGGGAACGGAGCCCGCAACAGACGTGCGTGCATATAAGGGGCGGTAAGATTTAGAACGAAGAAGAAACGTGAAACAGGGTGGGAAAGAGGAGAAGCAGAAGCAAAAGGTCGGAGACGCGGAGGGAGTACAGCGACAGAGGGAGAGGAGAGAGTGAAGTGAGAGAGGGAGCGAAATGAGAGTGACAGAGGAAGTGAGGTAAGAGAGGGAGTAAGGCTAGAGAGGATTAAAGTGCGAGAGGGAGGTAAAGGGGGAGTAAGGAAAGGAGTGAGGGGGGCGTGAGAAAAGGAGGGAGATGGAAGGAGAGTATCGGAGACACACTGCCTGCGTCCCCACTCTTTCACTTCTCTCCGGGGTACGCCACGCCTCTCCCAGTTCCTTGCTGCTCTTCTTCCCTTTCTCCTTCTCCTCGTCCCCTGCCTCCTGCTTCGCTTTTTTCCTCCTCTTCACCCTTCTGCTCCTTCGCTTCCTTCCTCTCCTCCTACCCCCTTGCCGGCCTTCCGAGCAGGGGGGCCATATTGGGCAAACCGAAAGTATTGACCGCGAAGGAGAGGAGTGGAGAGAACTGAACAAAAGCCGGAAAAGGAGGACGAGACCGAGAGGAACAGCCATAGGAGGGGAAGAGACATCGAGGGTTAGCATAGCCCCATCGGTTCTAGGGCGACAGACACGGGGTTTAGATTAGGGTTTTGCCTTAATTTGACACGAAATCTCGGGCCGGGGTGTTGAGAGGTAGGAGGATCAGGGGAGGGAGCGGGACAGGCAGAATTTTAAAAGTCAAAAGTGAATGCAAAAATAAAAAATATTACGGTATGTGGTAGCTTAGCAAGTTAAAAAGGACTCGAGATATCGCGCCAACGGAGGGTGGTTATGGAGGAGGACGACAAGCCAGGTGGGAGAGATGAACAGCGGCGGCCAGGAGGTGCTCTGCGTTGGTCGGCAATAGACAGGTAGCTGAAAAGCATACTCACACTGGGACTTTCCTGCATGCACTTAACGTCAATTCATAGCCAGATTCAGTCGAAAAAATACCAGCTAGCGTGAAGTTTATGGCCTTATTCGAGAACTCGACCGGACGCTTGGGGATAACAAAACGATACTCACTCACATAACCGACGGGACAGCTGTTTGATCGAGAAGGCGACTCGATGGAGATCGCGGGAAGAAGGTGAAAATCAAGCCCGTATATTAATTAATTGCTTTCTAAAATTTGAATGTTAAAAATCTATCATTTTAATACAAGAATCAATGATCAGAATCAATAATAACTAAAATAAATCGATATACACAATCAAATAAGTATATGCATAAATAAGTATATGCATAAATAAGTATATGCATACTATACTATTTTCTATCTATTCTAGATTCAGATTAAATTTTACTATTTTCTATCTATTCTAGATTCAGATTAAATTTATTGGTTAAATGTTTTTTTTTGTATCATAAAAACAAAATTATGATTCATTGATGATTTTTTCTTCTATTGTTAAAAATCTCTATTGTATTCAAATTCAATTTAACTAATAGCGGAGAAGCAGCCGCCATGAGTTCAGCCCGCCGCTGATGAAAATGGCTCATTGTTATGTTAATCGGGTTAACCTTATTCATTACCATCATAGGTCTTTGGGACTTTATTTCACTCCGGCGAGATAATCGATTGTATTTTACTTATGCAAAGTTTTCGATTTATTTTATACGTATCGTCAAACAGAACTGTCCGGTAATAACAACCGAGGGGCTGTGACAAACTGTTTCGTCGGAGTTTCACCGACTGACTCATCAGGAGGCTGTGCGTGCGTATGTTCATACTTGACCTACCTCCGTCCTCCGACCGCAGGAAGTGCCCGAAAGACATCACAAAGGCATCATCGTCTCTCGAAAGCCCCTGCCAGTCAGCACTAGTTCGTCCCGGGGAGTTGGTTCCCCTGCCATACCCGTTTCGCTTGTCCTTCCTTCATCAGATAAGATTCATTGATCTGTTCATCGATTAATTTGATTGGTTGATGGATTGATCGATTGATCGATTGATTGATTGATAGGTTGATTGATTGATAGGTTGATTGATTGATAGGTTGATTGATTGATTGATAACTGGATTGACCGATGGGAGAATTGCTTAGTGAATTGAATGCGGGATTGGTGGATTGAATACTGGATTGATTAATGAATTGATTGTATTAATTAATTGCTAGAGGTGGATTGAGTAATGCATTGATGGACTGGTAAGTGGGTTGATCGAGTGATTACTTTTCATTAATCGATGGAGTAATTGACTGCCATTAATCGACGGAGCAATCGATTGCCATCGCCCTACGGAGCCGTTGTTTTCATTGCTTGTTTATCTGACTGGCTGATTCGCTTCCGGTAACTGAAAAAAAATATACCATTTTTTTTTTTAAAGCGAGCATTTTCAGAACTTTGCTGTGCTGACCTCACACGAAGAGGATTCCCCCCCCCCCCCCCCCCCCCCCCCCCTTCTTCCTCTTATTCTTCCTTTCTTCTTCTCTCTTTCTTCAGGAAGCCGGTAAAGATACTGCCTAAGCGGGGTCAAGAAAACGTGAGTATGTTCAATAGCTTCCTCCTCAGACGGTAGAGAATAGCTTCTCAGAGGGTCAAGAATAGCTATAAGTACATAGCATCCTCTTCATTAGAATTAGCACTAGCTTCCTTCCACCTCAGACGGTAAAAGAATAGCTCTAGCTTCCTCCTCAGACGGTAATAGAATAGCTCTACCTTCCTCCTCAGACGGTAAAAGAATAGCTCTACCTTCCTTCCTCCTCAGACGGTAAAAGAATAGCTCTAGCTTCCTCCACGGACGGTGAAGAAAAACTATAGGCTCCTCCTCACATGGTCAAGAATAGCTCTAGCTTCCTCAGGCGGTGAAGAATAGCTCTTAGCTTCCTCCACAGGCTGTGATAAATAGCTTCCTCAGACTGTGAGGAGTAGCTATAGCTTCCTCCTAGTTTCCTCCTCACATTGTCAAGAAGCGCTCTACCGTCTTTACCCGAATAGGACGCGGCCGGTCATTACAGCCGTGGTTGGAACAACTTTCAGTCCAGATACAGCTATAAAGACCGGGCGTTCTATTCGGGTGGAGACGGTAGCTTCCGCCTCAGACGGTCAAGTATAGCCATAGCTTCCTCAGACGGTCAAGAATAGCTAGAGCTTCCTCCTCAGACGATGTACGTAGCGACTCCCCCCCTGTCAATCCTGCGTGACCATAATAAGGGCGTACTCACACTAGCACTTCCATAAATGTATCTGACTGCAATTACGGCCAGACCTGGATGCATGTGACTGCAATCACGTCCAGTCCAGAGCTCAGTTTAAAAAGTTCTAGCGTGTGTACCACAACAAACGCGAATAGACAGATACTGTCTCCCCTATATACAGTACCTCGATACTGTCTCCCCTATATACAGTACCTCTCTATTCGCGTGTTTAACTCCAACACAGGTCTTTTGATGGCGAACTTCTTTTTCTTTTTTTTTTAGTTCAGCGCCGTGTGCAAAATAAAATAACTTACACCAAAAACATTTGCTTACTACCGACTTATAGGAAAGGAAATTTTATTTTTCACATCAGAAAGAAGAGATATACCAAGTATCCATGAGTCCTGGGAAAGAAAGAGCTATGCGATGTGATGGTCGCGTAGGCACAGAAAGAGAGAGAGAGAGGTTTCACTGCTTCAAAATTGCCTAATTCCTCCATGGGCATATTCAGAGTACAGACTTTCCTGAATGCATCTCTCCAAAATAACGTCCAGATTCCATAGATAAAGTCCGCGTGTCAGTACGCCCTACACGATACGCGAGAGCATCAGCGAGAAACGAAACCAAGCATATATACTATATGTGGGCGATGGCGAAGACGATGACGACAACGACGAAAGAGGATTGGCGGGAAACGGAGAGAAACAGCGGGAAATGGCGTCGATACATCCGACGACGCCAACTGGCAAGGAACAGAAAGAGAGTGCGGTAGTTTGTCACTATTACGAAGGGTGGGACTAACCGGTAGGCGGCAGGCATTCACCAGGGTGCCATCGAAGAAAGAACTGCGTTGTGAAGTGGGAGTCGAGTAATGGGAAAACACGTCAACGTTTCGTTTCTTCTTTTCGAATATGTTCAACTCGGGGCAAACACAGAAAGAATAGGAGAAGCCGTACGGGATGCAACGCTGCATGCGTCTGTGTGTGTGTGTTGTCATATTCGCTATACACTCCAAAAAAGCATGACTGTACCGGACTTTCACCGACTCATCAGGAGGTTGAACCCCGACAGTCTGCCCAGGATTCTGTGTGTGTGTGTGTGTGTGTGTGTGTCTGTGTGTGTGTGTGAGTGTGTGTGAGAGAGAGAGAGAGACAGACAGACAGACAGACAGACAGACAGACAGACAGACAGACAGACAGAGACGGACAGACAGACAGAAGAAGAGAGAAAAAGACACATGAGCAGAGGAGAAGAGCGCGCAAGAAGACGAAGAACAAAAGAAAGATAGATAGCAGGGAGGGAGGGACGGAGGGAGAAATGGGGGGCGCAAGCAAGAACGGTGAGGAGACACGTCGTTGTAAATCAGCTGCGGGCTGAACATCTCACCAGTCACTCTGCTTGATGCACGTGGCGAAATGCGGGCAGGCTAGCTAGCAGCACTTCAGCGCCTTTCGTGCTTCACTATGAGTAGCGATAGCCGTCGCTGGTAGCCGTCGGGGGGTAGCCGTCACCGTCACAGTAGCGTCTATCTGCAGGCAACAGGCAACACTACACAGGCTGGCAATACCTCGACGAGGAGGAAGAGAGGACAGATGAGGGACACGAAGGGAAGTGCTGGAGGGAACTCGACGGACGGACTGTTCACGGCCCAAAGCAAGCATTATAGAACGCCCACCGCAGGTACTGTATTGGCAGTTGGAGCCTGCCTTTGGCCGCGCAGGTAAAGCTTAGGGCCAGGCAAAAAAAGGGGTAAAGCAAAAGAGGGCGAGCAGTGTTCTTGTCGTTGTTGGTAGGCTGTGAAAATCGACACAGACTCACGGCATCGCTAATACTCTGAAGGAAAGGAAATAGAACGTCGCGCGTGAGCTTCCCACAGTGTTGGGAAAGTACGAAATGGGCCCACGACCCGTGTGGGGAGCGGCTTGTATCTCTTCTCTATACATTCTCTATACATACTATATACATACTACATACTAAATAAAACAAAGGGTCTCGCGACATATACATTCTCTATACATACTATATACATACTACATACTAAATAAAACAAAGGGTCTCGCGACATGGTCGGTCGCGGGCCCAAGGGAAACCTTTTGGGACACAAACCGTAGGCGGGGGGCCGCGGGGCTGAGGCCGACGGAGGCGAACTGGCGCAGGGGCGAACGCGGGGGCGCAAAGGGGCGGGAACAGGCCAGCGGGAATTCGAAGGCGCGCAGGCCCAGGCGAAGCGGCGGAGGGGCGACGACGAAAATTTTTTGCACACTGGCGGGAACCGGGTAAGCAGGCCAGCGGGGCAAAGCGGGGTGTCCACGCAGAGGCGAAGGGGCGGGAACCGGGTAAGCAGGCCGAAGCGCGCTGGCAGCGCGAATTAGAGTTATCGTCTCTCTCTCTCTCTCTCTCTCTCTCTCTCTCTCTCTCTCTCTCTCTCTCTCTCTCTCTCTCT